ATTCTCCCCACTCACCTGACCTCTAGCAAACCTCAGTTTGTTTCTTAGAGTTCAGGGTCTCTTATGATTTGCCTCCCTCTCAATTGTCATCTTATTTTATTTTTTTTTCCTTCTCTTCTCCTATGTTCTCTGTTCTATTTCTTAAATTCCACATATGAGTGAAATAAAATAGTATTTGTGCTTCTCTGACTGACTTATTTCACTCAGCATAATACATTCTAGATCCATCCATGTCATTGCAAATGGCAAGATTTCACTCTTTTTGATGGTTGAGTAATATTCGATTATATATATATAATCTCACATCTTCTTTATCCATTCATCTGTCAATGGACATCTGGGCTCCTTCCATATTTAGGCTGTTGTGGATATTGCTGCTATAAACAATGGGGGTTCATGTGCCCTTTGAATCACTATGCTTGTATCCTTTGGATAAATACATGCAAGTGCAATTGCTATGTCATAGGGTAGCTCTATTTTTAACTTTTTGAGGAACTTTCAGACAGTTTTCCAGTTGCTGCAACAATTTGCATTCCCACAAACAATGTAAGAGGGTGCTCCTTTGTCTTCATCCTCACCAACATTTGTTGTTTTTTGAGTTGTTCATTTGAGCCATTCTGAGCTGTGTGAGGTAGTATCTCATTGTGCTTTTGATTTGTATTTCCTGATGCTGAGATGTTGAGAACTTCACCTTTTAATATGTCTGTTGGCCATTGATATGTCTACTTTGGAGATATGTCTGTTCATGTCTTGTGCCCATTTCTTGACTGGGTTGCTTACTTTTTGGGTGTTGAGTTTGATAAGTTCTTTATAGATCTTGAATACTAGCCCTTTATCTGTTATGTCATATGCAAATATATTCTCCCATTCCATAGGTTGCCTTTAGGTTTTGTTGACTCTTTTCTTTAATGTGCAAAAGCTTTTTATCTGGAGGAAATCCCAATAGTTCACTTTTGCTTTTGTTTCCCCTGCCTTTAGAAATGTGTCTTACAAGCAGTTGCTGTAACTGAGATCAAAAAGGATACTGCCTGTGTTCTCCTCTAGGATTTTGATGGATTCCTGTTTCACATTTAGGTCTTTCATCTATTTTGAGTTTATTTTTGTGTATGGTGTAAGAAAACAGTCTAGCTTCATTCTTCAGCATTTGGCTCTCCAATTTTCCCAACAGCATCTATTGAAGAGACTATATTTTTTTCCAACGGATATGCTTTCCGGGTTTGTCAAAGATTAGTTGACCATAGAATTGAGAGTATATGTCTGGGTTCTCTATTCTGTTACACTGATCTATTTGTCTATTTTTGTGCCACTACCATACTTTCTTGATGATTATAGCCTTGTAATACAGCTTGAAGTCTGGAATAGTGAAGTCTCCAGGCTCACTTTTATTTTTCAATATTACTTTGACTATTCCTGGTTTTCTGGTTCCACACACGTTGTAGGATTGTTGTTCCAGCTCTATGAAAAATGGTGATGGTATTTTGATCAGGATGACATTGAATGTATAGATTGCTTTGGGTAGCAAAATGCAGCATCAACTCACCACTTTTATTCAACATAGCACTGGAAGTCTTAGTCATAGAAATGAGACAAGAAAAAGAAATAAGAAGCATCCATGGGACACCTGGGTAACTCAGAGGTTGAGCTGCCTTTGCTCAGGGTGTGATCCCAGGATCTGAGATCAAGTCCCGCATCAGGATCCCTGCGGGGAGCCTGTTTCTCCCTCTGCCTATGTCTCTGTGTCTCTCTCTATGTCATAAATAAATAAATAAATAAATAAATAAATAAATAAATAAATCTCTTTTTTTAAAAGAAGCATCCATATTGGTGAAGAAGAATTAAACTGTCACTATTTAGAGATTACGTACTATACACAGAAAATCCTGAAGACTCCAACAAAAAACTACTATAAATTTTTAAAAATGCAGTGATGTGACAGGATGCAAAATTATTTTTTTTCTCTTTCCATACTTTTATTAACTCAGGATAGATTTACATATGTGGAGCTACAGAGTCAAGGGATTCCAAAATTTTGTAATTCATACTAAGCCATCAAATACAGCTGTTTTTTTTTTTATGTTACATGTGGTTTATCTCAACCCAGTGTTCCAGTTTTCCATGGCCTTTCTGAATTCTGATTCTGTCCCTAGATACTTTAGCTACCCCCTATCCCTCTGAGTTATGCTCACCAATCTCTCACTGCAAGGCCTAGTATCAGATAAAGGGCTAGTATCCAAGATCTATAAAGAACTTATTAAACTCAACAGCAAAAAAACAATCCAATCATGAAATGGGCAAAAGACAGTAACAGAAATTTCACATAGGAAAATGTAGATATGGCCAACAATCACATGAGAAAATGCTCTGCATCACTGGTCATCAGGGAAATACAAATCAAAACCACAATGAGATACCACCTCACACCAGTGAGAATGGGGAAAATTAACAAGGCAGGAAAGAACAAATGTTGGAGAGGATGTAGAGAAAGAGGAACCCTCTTGCACTGTTGGTGGGAGTGTGAACTGGTGCAGCCACTCTGGAAAACTGCATGGAGGTTCCTCAAAGAGTTAAAAATAGATCTTCCCTATGACCCAGCAATTACACTGCTGGGGATTTACCCCAAAGATACAGATGCAGTGAAACGCCAGGACACCTGCACCCCGATGTTTATAGCAGGATGCAAAATTAATACCCAGAAACTGGTAACATTTCTATACACATCGAAGTCACATAAAGAGAAATTTAAATTCAACAACATTTACAATGACAGCAAAAAAAATAAGATACATAGAAATTAACCAAAGAAGTAAAAGATCTGTTCTCTGAACACTATAAAACACTGATTAAGGAAATTGAAGATGACAAAAAGAAATGGATAAGTTCCCCATGCTCATGAATTGGAAGAATTAACATTGTTAAAATATCCATATTACCTCAAAAAATCTTACTGAAATATCTGATTTTGTGGGATTTTTATGGTCTGCTTTAAAGTTTCTTTTATACAAAGTTATGGTAATTAAAATAGTATTATACTGGCATTAAAATAAACACAAAGAACAATAGAATAGAATTAAGAATGCAGATACAAATTGTTGTATATATGGTGAGCCAATATTTCACAAAAAATTCAAGACTATTGAATTGAGAAATGATAGTCCCCTCAGTAAACAGTGCTGGGAAAAGTGGATAAACACAAGAAGAAAAAATAAAATCAGAACTCTATGTTAGTAACTTGAAGTTAATTAAGGACTTAAACATAAGTCCTTAAATTATAAAACCCCTAAAAAATATAGGGAAGAGCTCCTTGACATTGACTTTGGCAATATATTTTTTGATGTGACACTAAAAGTACAAACAAACAAACAAAATAGGTAACTTGGATTACATCAAACTAAAAAGCAAATCAAACCCACAGAGACATCAACACATTTTAGAATGACTAACATTATTAATTTTTAATTACATCTTTAAAATTTTGACTATAGTTGACAAAAATCCAGAAGACACAGAGAACATTTATCAAAATCTACAAAAGCAGGCCAACACCACAGCATATCATAATAAGTTTGCAAAACCCTAACCTATAAGGGAAGACAAAGTTAGCAGCAGATACGTCCACAGAAACATGATAGGCCAGAAGTAAGTGGCAAGATATGTTCAAAGTGATGAATGGGAATAAGATGCAGCCAAGAATACTCTATCCATCAGGGATATATCATTCAAAATTGAAGGAGGATAAAGAGTTTCCCAGACAAATAAAAACAAAAAGAATGTGTGATCACTAAAAGACCCTTGTAAGAAATATTAAGGGGAACTCTTTGAGGAGGAAGAAAGACCAAAAGCAACAAAGAATAGAAAGAAACAGAGAAAATCTCCAGAAACACAGACTTTGTATGTAACAAAATGGCACTAAATTCATATCCATCAATAATCACTTTGAATGTCAAAGGATTAATGCCCCAATCAAAGGACATGGAGTATCAGAATGGATTAAAAAAAAACCACTTTTATATGCTACATACAAGTGACTCATGTTAGACCTAAAGACACATGCAGGTTGAAAAATGACGGAATAGAGAACCATTTATCTTGCTACCAGATGTGAAAAGAAAGCCATACTTATATCATATAAACTAGATTTTAAACCAAAGACTACATGTAACAAGAGGTGAAGAAAGACATGCTATCCTAATTAAGGGGTCTGTCAAACAAGAAGTTCTGAAAATTTTAAATATTCAGTCCCCCAAATTGGGAGTACCCAAACATATAAATAATAACAAACATAAGAAAATTGATAACAGTATCAGTAGGGGATTTTAACATCCTGCTCATATCAATGGACAGACTATCTAAGCAGAAAATCAACAAGAAAATAATGACTTTGAATGAAACACTGGACCTGGAGGGTATTATGCTGACTGCAGTAAGTTAATTGAAGAAGGACAATCATTATATGGTTTCACTCATATGGGGAATATAAAAAATAGTGGAAGAGATTATAAGGAAAAGGAGAAAAAATGAGTGGGAAAAATCAGAGAGGGTGACAGAACATGAGAGACTCCTAACTCTGGGAGACAAACAAAGGGTAGTGGAAGGGAAGGTGGGCAGGGGGATGGGGTGACTGGGTGACAGGCACTGAGGGGGGCACTTGACGGGATGAGCACTGGATGTTATACTATATGCTTGCAAATCGAACTCCAATAAAAAAAATATACAAAAGAAGCACATTGGACCAGATGGACTTAGAAGATATATTCAGAACTTTCTCTCCTAAAGCAGCAAGAAAAAAAAATAAAGAAAGCAGCAAGAATACAAATTATTTTCAGTTGGACATGGAACATTCTCCAGATTAGATCACATATTGGGTCACAAATCAGACCTCACTAACTACTGAGATAATATCATGCATATTTTTCTACCACAATGCTATGAAATGTAATGTCAACCACGAGAAAAAAAATGAAAAGACTACAAAAAATGGAGGTTAAAGAACATCCTGCTATGTGCTCATTTCAGCAGCACATATACTAAAATTGGAATGAAGCAAAGAAGATTAGCATGGCACCTGTACAAGGATGACATGCAAAGAACATCCTGCTAATAAATGAGTGGGCTAACCAGGAAATTACAAAAGAAATACAAAAAATACATGGGGCAAAGAAAAATGTAAACACTACAGTTCAATCATTTGGGATGCAGCAAAAGTGGTCATAAGAAGGAAGCACAAAGCAAAACAGGCCTACCTCAAGAAGCAAGAAAAGTCTCAAATACACAACCTAACCTTACACCTAAAGGAGATAGAAAAGGAATAGCAAATAAAGCCTAAATCCAGCAGAAGGGAAATAATAAAGATTAGAGAAAATAAATGATATAGAAACAAACAAGGAAGCAAAAACCAGTAGACGAGATCAATGAAACTAATAGCTGGCTCTTTGAAAGAATTAACAAAATTGGCAAACCCCTAGCCAGACTTATCAAAAAGAAAAGAGAAGAATCAAAATAAATAAAATCACCAATTAAAGAGAAGAGTTAATAACCAATACTACAGGAATACAAATAATTTTAAGGGAATATTATGAAAAATTATATGCCAACAAATTGGGCAATTTGGAAGAAAAGATAAATTCCTGGAAACATATAAACTACAAAAACTGAAACAAGAAGAAATAGAAAGTTTAAACAGACCCATAGCCAGCAAAGAAATGGAATCAATAGTATATATATATATATATATATATATATATATATATATATATCCCAAGAAACAAAAGTCCAGGGCCAGATAGCTTCCCAGGGGATTCTACCGGATATTTAAGGAAAAGTTAATACATATTCTCAAAATGTTCCAAAAATTAAAATGGAAGGGAAACTCCCAAACTCATTCAATGAAGCCACCATTACCTTGATTCCAAAACCAGACAAAGACCCCACTAGAAAAGAGAATTACAGGCCAATACCCCTGATGAACATGGATGCAAAAATTCTCACAAAATACTAACAAATTGAATCCAACAGTACATTGAAAAAATTATTCACCACAATCAATTGGGATTTAATCCTGGGCTGCAAGGGCTGTTCCATATTTGCAAATCAGTGTCACACACCACATTAATAAAAGAAAGGATAAGAACCATATGATTATCTCAATAGGTGCAGAAGAAGCATTTGACAAAGTACAGCATCTATTCTTAATTAAAACTCTCAAGAGCATAGGTATAGATGGAACATACCTCAATGTCATAAAGGCCATATATGAAAGACCCACAGCGAATATCATCCTCATTAGAGAACTGAGAGCTTTTCCTCTAAGGTCAGACAAGACAGAGATGTTCACTCTCACCATTATGATTTAAGATACTACTGGAATTCCTAGCCTCAGCAACTAGACAAACGGAAAGAAATAAAAGATATCTAAATCAGCAAGGAAGTAGTCCAATTTTCACTTGTCATAGATGACATGATGTAGAAAAGCTGAAAGACTCTATCAAAAAATTACTAGAGCTGAACTGATACACAGTTTCAGCAGTCACAGGATACAATATCAATGAACAGATATGTTATATTTCTATACAACAATAATGAAGCAGCAAAAAGAGAAGTCATGTAAACCATCCCATTTACAGTTGTAACAAAAACCATAAGATACCTAAGAATCAGCATAACCAAAGAAGGATATGATCTGTAATCTTAAAAGTATAGAACACTTATGAAAGAAATTGAAGATGACACAAAGATATGGAAAAATATCCCATGTTCATGGATTGGAAGAATAAATATTGTTAAAATGTTTATACTCTCAAAGCAATATATGCATTTAAATGTATTTAAATGATATTAAATCCCTATCAAAATACCACCAGCATTTTTCAGTGAGCTAGAATAAATGTTATATTAGCTTCAGATGTACAACATAGTGATTCGACTTCTGTATAACTCATGGTATGCTCATCTTGAGTGTAGCTACTATCTGTTAATCATGCAATGCTATTACAATATTATTCACTCTATTCCCTATGCTGTGCCTATTACTCTGATGACTTATTCTCCATAACTGGAAGTTTGCATCTCCCACTTCCCTTCACCCATTTTTTCTTTCTGCCAACCATCCTTTCCTCTGATAACCATCAGTTTGTTCTCTGTATTTATAGATCTGACTCAGGTTTTCTTTATTATTATTTTTTTTAGATTCCAAATATGAGCAGAATCTTATGATATTTGTCTTTTTCAGTCTTATTACACTGACTTATTTCACTTCGCATAATATCCCCTAGGTCCATCCATTAGATCAGAGTAAATATCCTTTTAATGAATGAATTATATATATATATAATTATAATTATAATTCTATAATGAATGAATTATATATATAATTATAATTCTATAATGAATTGATGGACACAGGTTGTTTCCATATCTTGGCTATTGTAAATACTGGTGCAATAAATATAGGGTTCCATATACCTTTTAGAACTAGTGTTTTTTTTTATTTGGGTAAATACTGAGAAGTGGAATTATTGAATCGTATGGAATTGCCATTTTTAACTTTTTGAGGAACTTCTATACTGTTTTACACAGTGGCTGTACCAATATAAACTTTCACCAACAGTGCACAACTCTTTCTTTTCTCTACATCCTCAGGAGCACTTGTTTCTTCCTGTCTTTTTTATTTTAGCCATACAATGATTGCCTTTAAATATACACAAATATACATATTTTTTAATATTTGTAAATACTATAAATAATTTTATAAGTTTATTTATATATAAATTTATATATACACATTTACTATAATTCATATAGTTATAATATATAATTATTCATCATAAGAAAGAAGGAATTTCTCTTATTTGCAACAACATAAATAGACTTTGAAAGCATTATACAATGTGAAATAAGATAGAGAAGGAAAAATATTATTTAGATATGAAATCTAAAAATGCTCAAGTCATGGTAACAGAGAGTACAATGGCAGTTGGCAGGGGCTTGAGAGTGGGGGAAATGTGGAGATGCTGGCCAAAGGGTAAAAATTTTCACTGATAAGATGTAAGCTCTGTGGATTTAATGTGTATTATGGTGATTAGATTTATCAGTACTGACTTACAAAGTTGAGAGTTCCTAAAAAAGTAGATAGTAAATGTTATCACCACAAAAAAAGAAATGGTAATTATGTGACATGACTGTGGTATTAACTACCACTACTGTGGTAATCATTTACAATATATAATTATAAAAATATTTTAAGCTCTTATTTAAATCCACTTAGGTAACATACAGTGTAATATTAATTTTAAGGTGTACAATCTAGTGATTCAACACTCCTATACATCACCCAGTATAAGTGCACTCATCACAAGTGCACTCTTTAATCCCCATCACCAATTTAACTCCATCCACCCCCCACCTTAACTCTGGTAACCATCATTTTGTTCACTATAATTAAGAGTCTGTTTTTTAGTTTGCATCTGTCTTTTTTCCCCTTTGCTTGTTTTTTTATTTCTTAAATTCCACATATAATTGAAAGCATAAGGTATTTGTGTTTCCCGACTGTATTATTTCACTTAGCATAATACCCTTTAGTTTCATTCAGGCTGTTGCAAATGGCAAGGTTTCATTCTTCTTTGCTGATATATATGTCTTTTATCCATTCATCAATAAATGGACACTTGGGCTCTTTTTTTTTTGTATGGTGTAAGAAGATGTTCCAATTTCATCCTTTTGTAGGTTGCTATCCAGTTTTCCCAACACTATTTGTTGAAGACTGTCTTTTTACCATTGGATATTCTTTTCTGCTTTGTCAAAGATTAATTGACCATATAGTTTTGGGTTCATTTCTGGATTTTCTCTTCTTTTCCATTGATCTGTGTGTCCATTTTTGTGTCAATAGCAAAGCATATCAATATTTTATACACTTTAAGTTTACACAATGTTATATATCAATAATTTCTACAAAAAGCTGGGAAAATTGTTGTTTTATACTTTTTAAAAAAGATTTTATTTATTCATGAGAGACACATACAGAGAGAGAGAGAGAGAAAGAGAGAGAGAGAGAGAAAGAGAGAGAGAGAGAGAGACAGGCAGAGGGAGAAGAAGGCTCCATGCAGGGAGCCCCATGCATTCGGGACACGATCCCCGGACTCCAGGATCATGCCCCAGGCAGAAGGCAGGCGTCAAACCGCTGAGTCACCCAGGGATCCCCCATTGTTTTATACTTTTTGAGACACAGTCTTATTCTATATTTATTGATTTCTACGTTGATTCAAGTATTATCCTTATTTTCAATACTATTAGATGATTTACAGAATCTGTAGCTCAAGAAACACGACAGGATATGAAATAAGTGAGTAGACATGGCTTGTAGTAAACTTACTGTTATTTTTAGCTTTTATTATCCATCCATATCAGTCAATGTGTTAAGTAATATTTCTTTTTTTGTTTTTTTTTGTTTTTTAAGTAATATTTCTATTCAAGTTTGCTTCATATAAAGATGACTTACTCAAGACTATGTCCAGATTTATATGCCAAATTGAACTGTTAAAATATTGCTTTCCTTTTTTCTCAATGTTTTCCAAGGTGGAATCATTTTTACTGTGGAAATATAAACTTTTAAACCATAATCCCATTTATATTGGCATAGGCTATTATAGTAAATATATGCTGTATTTTTTAAAACAAAAATCCCCAATGCAAAATTATCCTTTTGTCAAGTTTGATTGCACTCACCAATATTTGTTTTCTATTTTAATTATATATATAATTACATATTATATATATTACATATTATATACATATCATATATAATTACATATTATATATGTAAATACATATAATTACATATTATATATTTTGCATATTTTATGTACTATACATGAATATATACAGTGTAATATATATATTACAGTGTATATATATACAGTGTAATCTCAAGCAGTCAGGTAAATGATACAAAAACAAAAATTACTTTTAGTGATTATTTTAGTTTTTCAACTAGAAGAAATAAACTGTTCTTTGTTTTCTAAGATTTAGTTAGTTTGAAATAGGTTTTACATTTGGGTAGCTTGACTAGGTTATTAATTTTTCCAAAAAGTTGAGAAAAAACCCATTAGTTG